TGACAGTCCGAAGATTGAGAATTTTGGCCGATCATTGGTATTGTCGGACACCACGCTTTGAGAGCTTATAACTTTCTATGCACTCTTGCTAGAGCTACAAGTTTTGTCACGCAAATAAAGGATAACTATTGCTATAATACTTTGCAGTTTCATGAGATGGCAATGTATAGTTTTCCTAAAACAAGTGTCCGAAAATTGATGGTGTACGATCATTGATAATGTACTCTAGGAATGTAATTATAAAAACATGGATGTATGAGAAACTGATGGAGGAAAATGATAAAAATATATGATATAGCAAATGACAATTGAAGATTAAGTGGGCCCCTGCACCCGAATGTCTCAAGACTTAGCCCTAGACTAAATACTTGAAACAATCCTGATGTCACAATGCAGACAATAACCAGTGGTATTAATCTAATAACAGTCTTAACATCTTCTACCTCTTCCTCTGTGAATGGTCCACCATATTTATCCTTACCCAAGTCTAGTCTTGAAGGAGCCTCTTCCTCCCAGTAGGTCACTACGGTTCTCGGGATACTTGTGCTTCCTGGCATAACACAATACTCTAACTATCAGTTTGACCGGATTAACTGTATTCACAGGAGTAGTCTCAAGATAATGATTGAAGAGACCATGACTAACTAACACTGCAGCAACACAGACAATACTAGCTAGTAACAGATGTAATACTTCAATATTGAGTAGAGAAATTGCAGTAACAATAACAGGTCCCACATTATGCCAGTGTAGTACAGCAGTGAGTTCATCACTTGATGATCCAATGAGCTGATCAATATTGAATGGTAACAGATTGACACGTATAGTGACAAGTGTAATTAACGATAATGTGTATAATGCCAAGAGTAGATATGTATGTGATGGTAGAAGCATTGAGATAATAATAAAAGGGATTAGTAAAATAAATGCAATATATGATCCAACCAGAACAACTTTATATCTGCTCACTAAGAAATCTCCGAAATACCCAGCAAAAAAACAGAGAAGAGTACTCCCAAAGCTACAAAAAATACAAATCCCCAAGGGCAGCAGAAAATAAAACCACAATTATAACTAAGTTTTGACTCAGTGAGATCATCATATCCCAGAATAGTACCAGTAGTGCTCCCTTAGAGTGTATGAACTGAAAACGATACGACGAGGAAGGACAAGAAGAACATCTCCTTCTACTAGTAACTGATGATGAGCTTAATAGTGGAGCATTATCAGACATTATGAAGAGAAAGAAGAGAGTGAGAGCAAAAGAACAGCAAGACTGCATTATAACTTTTATGTGCATTAAGATTTACTTTATATCAGAAAGCATGAGGAATAGATGCAATAAGTCAATACATTGTTTGGCAAACACACTGAATGCATGTTTTACTTTACTTTAAAAACTTAAACTATCATGAGTAATGCATTAAGACAATACATTGTTAGGCAAACACTGACAGCATGTTTTCTTTACTGTAAAAAGGCCAAGGCTATCATGAGAAATAGCATAATACAATAAGTGAATGTGCTGTTAGGCAAACACTAAATTATGACTTAATGGGTATTAACCAATACAAATCTCCATTCTAATCGCGTTATCAGAGGCAAAGGCATGCAATCTATTATGATCCATCATGACACAGTATTGCCGAACTTGTAAAATGAACACTTGCAGTGGTTGATTGTTCCCTTTTGCTCAGTGACTATGCCAAATTTCTGTGGGAGAGCCTAGTCCTGATTACAATTTATATTGTGTATGCACAGTGTATACCTATATTGTAACATAGTTATCATTGTGTAGTGTCTGTATTTTTCTATAGTTTGTACAAAAACAAAAGCAACATGTACTTAGTCATGAATATTATATATTATTTTTCTGATAGATGCGCATAAGCTATGCAGAAATATTATGATCATAATTTTGATAGATTGTCATACAATAAACATACAATATTCATCTGTAGGCTCAGATCTCTCGGCTAGAACTTCCCCTCACCAGAATTTCCCACAAAGCATGCTACATGTACGTGAAGTGACAAGCACTATAATACAGTACATACTATAAATCCATAAAATCATCTGAAATTTTCGATACAATACAGGCACATCTATATGCATCAAAATTAATAATAAAAATGGGAAATGTTCTTGTAGTGATTTTTGACAATTTTCAAAACTGGACTAAGGAAAATAATTGGGTGTAATAAGAATAACAGTATTCACAGTGAAAACATCTAACAAGTTTACTGAGAGGAGCAGATTTTTTCTAAATTTCAAGATGACCCAGACACTCAGAGTTAGAACCTACAAAAACTACTAACACCAAATGAACAAAATAGATACTCACCTACCTCTTCTCTGAGAAGCATTGCAGGTTCAACCGGCTCCCATACTGAAATGGTCACACCTGCTTTAATCTCATCAGTCATCACAGACACCTCCAGCAGAGCATTTCAATGTATCTATTACAAGGAAGGACAACAGTCTCAACTGAATCTACTAATCTACTGAGTCTCACTCTCAACTGAATCTACAATTGAGGAAGACACTTATAGCAGATAATACGGAAGCTGCCTTCATTGTGTAATATGCTGTGTGATTTGATGATACATTTATGCAATAATTTGTGAATTATACAGTGAGACTCACACACTTTCTCCTTCAATTTACTCCATTAATTCATTAATTAATTCATTAACAGTGATTTATCCCTCAGCTAATTTATAATCATTACTATTTAATCAATGTGTTTGATGATTATAAATAAAATTACTGCCATAAAGAAAAAGTTGATATATACTGTGACAGTAATATAGTTATACTGTATGTACACAAGCACAATGCATGAAGAAAATGCAGAACACTATGGCTGCTTATTTATTTCAATTATGACTCTTAGTGAAAGGTACATTACTATAATACTCCTATGCTTTCATTTGGCAGCTGAAATAATAGTTGGTTTAACCATTTAGATACTCCTCCTACCAGGAGGGCATGTATGTACAATGAAAAAGTACATCACACATAAATTCCATACAAAACACTTTCAGTAAACATGTGTATTGCATATAAAATCTATTACATTATTGAGCTGCATATAAATAATGTAATTTCTGTGCCTAAGTGTATACCAATGCTCACTGCATGTCTGAGACGTAGACCAATGGTTATTTAACAATTATTATATTATATATTTGGCATAAGTACATGTATAGTGAATAAAACCAGGTACTAATAATTCTCACAAAAATAAATACAATTGTTGATCATAACATGTAACAAGGATAAAAATAAAAATACAATTAACAGGTACATACACCTATAAGCTCTATCATACATGCATGTACATGTACGCATGCTCAATTGAGTTATTAAAATTAATAATCACTACGGTCACTGAGTCACATGATTCAGATCAACAATAACAAGAAAGAAGGTGAGCATTAGATCATATAGCATGATATCATTTTTCTAATACTATAGACACTCGGAACACTCATGGAAGCCACTGTAGTCTCTAATTTTCATGTAAGTCAATATAAGCAAACAGAAAAACATAAAATTTCTCATCTCTCCTTCTATCAGTCCATATCCTTTTCTCCATCTCCCTTTCTCTTATACTCTCTCTTCCTCTTTCCCTCTCTTCTCCCTCTCCCTCCCTCTCTCCATTTCCCTTTCTTTCTCACATACATGTAGGCATTGTTCAAAGAATTAATAAAAAAAGATGTGCCATCTACTAAAGATGGTGAACCTCATCATGCTTGTGGAGACAAGTAATTAATTGTAATGGCCGCAGTATTAGTGCAATTAGTACCAGTTACAACAACAACATTATATAATTATTTTTCCCATAATTTAGTAAACAAAGTGAAATAGAAGAACATCAAGGTCAAGGTACATGCACTTTACTTAATATTGTTTTAGTTAAGAACAAGTTACATTTATTTTGGTTTGGTATTGGACTCTTGAGGTTATACATTATGTTTACAGGCACTTAAGGTGGATTTACAATATTATGCTAGGCCAACGTACCATCAAATATTAATCGAAAGTGTGGGCTATTTGACCTTTTGACACATGCTTCACGCTGGAGTTGAACCAGATTCAACTACAGCGTCAACGTAACGTC